GCCAGCTGGGGCCAAAGTGATGACTTGCCCCGTCAAATCCCCACCATGCCCCGTGGGGCATGGTGGGACCCGGAGGGGCTGGTGTTTCAAGGGAAGGCCTACTTTGAGCATACGCTTTAAATGGGCATGTTCCCCGCTCCACATGGTTCCCGGGGCCACTTCTGGTGACTGGCAAACATGTGGGGACTGCAGCGCTTTGAACAACGTTCATATCCCAAACCGGTTCCGTGTTTGGAAAATCCGTGCTCTCGAAGATCGGAAACTGCCTTCACCACTTCCTTTGAGTTGAGTTCCCGCGAATGTCGTTTTGGACTCCGTAACGCCTCCTAAATCTGCACGAGATTGATAGATACGGTGCTCCCTGACCTACCCTTCGTACATGCACATGCTGACGATCTCCTGATGGCCAGCTTTTTCGCCGAGGAACACATGAAGCACTTCACAGTGGTATTTGACAGCCATTAAAAATTTGGCGTTGTCCTACACTCGTGCAAGTGTGTCTTCCCTCGAGTCTGTTGAGCACCTGGTCGACATTAACGTAATCCATTCTCTGCATGCCAAGCTTGCAGTCATCCGTGACTTCCCAACACCCTCTTCCAAGCGTCAGCTTCAGCGTTTTCTAGGCATGAAGAACTTCTATCGCCTGTTTCTTCCGAACTGTGCTGATTACATTTTGCTGCTCATGAATCTTCTCTCTTCTTCCAAACGTTCGTTCGAGCTACACAGAGACTAGGGACACTAAGGACTAGTCCACTACGGACATTCCGCAATGAAGACTTTGCAACATAGGTCACACGCTCACAAAACTGGCTTGAAAACGCAGCGGTTTCGTCGTTTGGGAGTTGCTGTCGCAAAGCTCTTGTCGCACAATAAAAACTGTTCTTACCAATTCTGTCTTTCCTGGGTTTTGAGTTAAGGGACCTTCTGTCGTCGACACCACTACCTCCGACAGTTTCAACTCATTATCTCGTGTCATTTAGCGTCGCCACTAACCCACAATTTATTTGCACATTATTGACTAAGCATAAAACAAAAACAGAGCCAATATCTGTGTGC